TCACTAATTGAAACTCCTGATGATAATACAAATCTATTTGCTTGGTTTAATACTTCTATTTTAGCTGTATATTTTATGCTAGCAGGTATTATATGATATCAATAATTTAATAAATTCTGGTATACACGTATATCAAAAAAATTAGCCTTATTTTATTTTTTATTTTTTTAGGTGATACGAGTGCTGTTTCTTCATGGGTTTACAAAAATAACTGCTTTATCGATTTTATTAGTTATATTTTCATTTTTTACAACTATTTATTTGATGAATTTGTTTATTTCATTGCTTGGAATGGCTATTGATGAAAAATATAATGAAGAATCTTTTTTAAAATTAAGAGGAGAGGTGAAAAATTTATTTATATTATAATTAAAATTTAAAACTACTAAAATTAATATTGTTGTAAATAATATTATTACTAGATATTAGCTGAAATTGAGCTTTTTTTAATGTTACCCCATCAAAGAAGAAAGAAAAACTGGTTCCCAGAAATTTTGATACTATTTTATTTATTTATATTGTAAATATTACATTATACTAATATATAATCTGAATATTTAGATATTATGAAGTTTCATTTAATGAGTTTAAGAAATATGTAAAAAGTATTGAAGATGATGAAATTTTATCAGATTTACTTCCCGCAATTAAAAAAATTACTGGAGTTAAAGAATATACAGGACTTTATGCAATTAAAAAAATTAGTGGAGTTAAAGACTTAAATGAAGACACTGTACTTTATACAATCAAAAAAGTTAATGAATCGAAAGACTTAAAAGAAGACATTGCACTTCACGCACTCAAAGAAATTATTAAAGGTATTGAAGGTGAAGACTCAAATAACAACAATACTAAAGACTGGAACTATGATGACATGGCACCGGTTGAAAATGATATGACACTAGATGAAAATTAGTCAATTATAATTTTAAGGTATAAATATTAATAATATATAATATAGATATTTATTTTTGATTTTTCTTGATTTTATGATCTTTTCCATTTTAAGAGTTTTACGGAATTTTTTATGAAAATTTTTCTAATAAAACATTTCACATATATGAATGATCCAATATCAAAAAAGTATTCATATGTACTAAACCTGATTTAATTTTGTTCGTAATATAGAAGGAATAATGAGTATAGAAAGTTATTAGCTTAGCCAAGTATGAAACAATATAAGATCAAAACCGAGTTGTTCGAAGTGCTCATGCTTGTGAAATTTTTGTTACTTGGCGATATGAAAAAATAGTATTATAAATGTTATGTACTTATGTTAAAAATGTTTAATGCTTTTTAACATCCTATTCCTGCTTCAATTTTATATCGACAATTTTCTTTTTCATAGTAAACATACTATACGTGTTGGTGTAACATACTGTTATTGTCATGGAGATGTATGTGTTACTCTGAGATATTACAACATCATATGGTGGAATTAAATCAAGCGAATACATAAACTATTCGCTATCGCCTTCAATAGACTGCGATTTATTTAAATACATTAATTCGATTTATTGTGTTTTTATTTAATACTAGATACTGAACCCATTGTTATATGTCGCGGATGATCATGAAATCCTGATGATCGTGAAATCCGGATCATCGTGAAATTCCATTATTAAAATTTTTTGGGGTATATTTTTTTAGGTTTATTTTTGAATCCAGACTAGTACTTAGAGTTAGGGTCTATAATAAAAGAGTATAAGTAGGTTTTGTTAGGGTTGTGAGGGCTTATATTTTTAAATTAAGGCCCTAGATTTCACGATGATCCGATTTCACCATAATCCGCGACATATATTATAATACGTTACGCAGCTTAATGGTGACTATAGATCAACAGTAGGAATCTTCACCCAGTGTGTAACATATAAAAAAATTGGATCATTTCGCTAGTACATTTCTTATAATGGTGTGGGATTAGTAATAACTAGTGGAATGATCTGGTAAAATAATTTTTTATATGTTGAAGGATCAATCGTGTAACATCGACTGTTCTACAGATCATGTTGACATGTTCCTTTATATTAGAAATGCGGTAAATTTCTATAGGTGCACGCTCTTAAGACCAATATTTAACATTTATGCGATATTGCGTAATTGCCGGGATTAAAATACCGTATAAGAAAATTAAGTGATTGTATTGATTTGCTGATTAATTTTTTTTTGTTATGAAATACTTATGATAAAACCGTTACGAAACCATTTTATAAACATGATAAAATCATATAATTATTGATTGGTCCATCGTAGTGCTCGGCACAATCAGACAAAAATTTGACAGCCAAATACTTGTTAATACTTATGTTTAAATCGGATGTCAAACAATTGCAGATTAACCAAAGCTAAATATATACTATTGGTTAATCTGCAATCATTTGATTGTGCCGAGCACTAGTCCATCGCATCATTACTTATTAATACAATATTTTGATATAATAGGGGGTTTCAGAGTTAATTTATTTTGAAAATAAGTAAAAGTTTGAAAAGTTATATTTTTGGTTTGAAATTTCGAAATCAGAAAATGAAATAGGAGTTATCCGGAGGTAAAATAAGTAACCGTTTTTTTTTTTTTTAAAGAAATTTTACGATCGTAAAAGTATTCATCACTATCAGCTATACAAATAAGCTTACAAATAAAAATAAATATGATATATAGATCACTGATTTCGAAATAAATACGTTAATTCAAAACCAGAAACCTGAACCTTAGCTCTGAAACCCCTAATGACGTATTTTCGTTGTTTAAAGATGGCAAATTCATAACTTATTTTATATGTAATTCTATTGTATCACTTAATTTTTAATGATCAAAAAATTCCGCCCATACGATTTCAATTGTTCGAAGCGTAGCGAGGACTTACATATGCATGTAAAAGTTGAAAAAATGGGGTGAACATGACCTTATGGGACTATGTAGATTTTATGAATAAAAATTAAAATTTCTAGGCATCTAATGATCCAATTCAAATAATTGGTTTTTTTTTTATTTTGTAGAACTCACTAAGCTCTACAAAATTAAAAAAAAAAGGTTATTTGAATTGGATTACTGGATAGCTAAAAATATTAATTTTTATAAAATCTACATAGTCCCATAAGGTCATTTTCAAGGTAAATGTCCGTACGTGACTTCATTGTGATTGCCTATTACGGTCCGACCTATTAATGTCTGTCCGCCACGTAGGGTGTCTGGCACGCCAAAAAAATTTGGCATGCTACATGGCATGCCTTTTGTTAAAATTTGTGCCATGGCATGCCTTTGGCATGCCACAAAATTATTATTATTTATAACACTGTATATATAATATGTATCTATATTTTGATATTATAAATATAATTTTTTATACTACACCCAGTGGCATGCCGAATTTGTTTTAGGCATGCCAGTGGCATGCCACTATGGCATGCCACCATTGGCATGCCTTTGCCACTATGCCAAACACCCTACCGCCACGTGATATTATTCTTATTGGCCGATAATATTAATAACAGACTGGTAACGGTTATAATATGTTAGGCTTTGGACTCACAACAGTTCCTGTTAACCTAATATATAATACGACTTTTTCTAACCTAAATACAACTATAAAAAGACTGGGTACCGTCACTGACGGTGGCAAATAAATTATTTCAATAAATTGAATAAAATTAATAAAAAAAAAATTTTTTTTTTAAAGCAAATGCTCTATTAGCTTAAAATATAAATTCCGCTGATCAATCGAGCAAAATTTTCAAACTAGTTAATATGTAATTTACAGAGGAGTTACGATTTAAAGTTTAAAATCTTATACGAAACGATTATAAAAAATTATCAAATTTCAAATTGTATCTCCTCTGTAAATTACATATTATGGCGGTTTGCAAAAAGGCGTGACCCTGTAATTTCGTGATCAATATCTATATTTTATTTGGAATCTTTAACATATGGGCGGATTCTACCGATTTGAGGATCTTCAGAGGTGATAATTAAAAATTGATCTAGTACGTACATGACAAATGATTTCAACATATCTTTGCTATCTTTGTCCACCCAATTTACGTTATTCATATCAATCTCAAAGTTCTCTTGCTAAACATGAAAAAACCAAACATCAGAATAATAAAATCATTCCACATATATACACTATAATTGCGCATTCAAACTATGATATTGAACAGTTTAGAAATGCATTTATTATTCAAGTAAAAAAGCGTCTTCAGTTTGGTCGAAGTAAAGTTAAAAACAAAACAATTCAATTAGAACCTTTTTCTGAAGGATTATTTATTATTTTATTCCGTCATATTTCTACTTTTTATTATGTTGCATCACAAAAAAATATGTAGTTAGTTTTAATGGAAGTGCAGGCTATAAGGAGTTGGGAAATTTATTAAATGATGATAAATGGGGACATAAAGAAGATGGATTAGGAACTATCGCTTATGTATTGATGGAAAATGAAACTGGAACATATCAAGTTAATTTTACTTGGAAAGAACATGTATATAAAAAACATCATTATCCTGGCTTAATGATATGTTCATTTCGAATTGACATTCAAGATTTTGTTTCTGAATAAGGTAATAAAACTTTTATTGAATATTCTATATTTTATAATTATTTATTTAATTTTTAATATGAAAAACTTTACGTGGATAGGTTGTGGGAATATTATAAATTCAATAATAAATTTGTCGATTTTCATATTTCATAATACCATACACTACAGGTTTATAAGTTTTACCACCACCCATTGTTGTTCCAGAAAAAAAAAGCTGTATCTAAATAGAATAAAAGATTAGTAAATATGTAAATAAATTATATATAAAAATTATTTTAAATAAAATAAAAATTTTTTACATGTTCATGATTTTTTTTTTCAAGACTAGAAGTTGAAAATAAACGTAATGACAATCCTTTGTTTTTCAAATTGCGCATAAACTTAGGCATGTGTTGAGCTAGCATATGCATATTTGGTGTTACATTTTTTTTTTGAATACATTCCTAGTTGTTGATTTGATGAATTGAATTTTCCAATTGTAGGTTAGCTAAAATCTCTGATCCATTGTTTTATATCATTTTCAAATTGATTAATTTCTATATTAGTTAAATTTTATTAATGCATTATATTGTAAAGTCTGTAAAATTCATACCAAAGACGTTTTATTTCTTTTTCTCTATTCAAATTAAAAAATTTAGATATTTAAAATTTTGCAATATTTTAAGTTTGTCAGGGCCCATTATAGGAGTCCACATCCATGAGCTTGAATTAGTTATAGGAGAAAAAAATTCAAAATGTACACCAATTCGCCTCATCTCATTAATTATTAATCAGCTTGTTGTTTTTGCAAATTTTTTTTGATCTGCTTAAAGTTCATAAAAAGCACATTGTAATAAAATATTTGATATGCGTAACATAGTGTGTAATTCATCAGGTATTCAATTGTCTTGATTAATAATATTAAAAAGCATTGAATGCTTACGCCCTATTTTTTAATAAAATTTAATTATATAATTTAGATAAATTTATATACAGTACTGCAATATACTGATATTAAAAATTCTTACCATGAGTATTTAAACTATTATTCCAATTTAATTCTTATTGGCACGTTCACTTTCATGACAATCACAAAACAAACAAAAATAATTTGAATTTGCGGCATTAAGCCCTAATACGAGAGCCAAAAATTTCCAATCTCCCGAAAAAAAAATTCCACAGGCTATATATTTCCTAAATTATCAACAAATCCAGTATTTGTTAATTCTTCAAGCTCTTGAGCAAATTTTTGATAAATACAATTTAGTGAATTGTAATTTTCTTTGCCAATGTATAGACAAATGCTTCAAAATAACAAATAGTAAATTAGATTTGATAAAAAAAATAATAAAAACAATAATAAAATTTTACCTATATACATGATTTGGACTTAATACTGTTTCACCTTTATTTAATATACTAATTGCTAGTATTATGTGACTTTGTTTTTTACCAATGTTTCGACCATCTCCACCAATTTTCAAATTAATTTTATCACCAGAATGAAGAACAGCTGGATTAGATGTAGTTAAAATTGGCACTAAAGCCATTAATAAAGATTTAATTGATCGATAGATAGCGTTTTTAGTTCTATAATCATCCAAATCTACATTTATATTAACTCAAATTTCTACAATATCTTTCTCAAGCTCTAATACTTGATTGATATTAAATAAAGCTATTGGTAAATGTTGCTTCATTTTGCTATTAATATCTTCACGTTGCTGTTCAACTAAATATTCTTGAACCATATTTGTATCTACAGTTACCAATTTTCGGTATCTATTATGGGAAATTGATGTTTTATCACATATCCAAACAAGAGAGTTATAATATTGTTTATCTTTATTTTTATGTTGATAATTAAGAGTTATATCTTGATCCGCAATTTTAAGTTTTACTAATTCAAGATTTACTATATTAGCACCTAATGAATTAATAAATTGATGATTATGAAAAAGCTTTGATACTTGAATATTTAAATCTTTTGTTGCCAATACAATTCATTGATTTTTTTGTGAATTAGATTTTAATTCTGTATAAGGATGCTTGCAATTAGTAGAAATTTCTATTCTTGCTTTATATAAACAATCAATATCAAATCCAAATAGAGATATTCCAGAAATACAGGTATTTGGTTTATTACAAATATCCTATATAATATTTTAAAATTAAAATAGATAAAATATAATTTTTTTTTTATTTACTATTAAAAATTTAAGATAAAATATAAATGTTTTTTTATTTAATTTATAGTTACCATTAAAAATTTAATACCAACATTACTTGCAGAAGTTGTACTACTGCTTGATAATGTATTACTACAAGAATCTATCCAACTAATCGTATAATTAATATTACCAGCTTGCTGATATTGAGTTTTACATCTTATAGACAATCCTGCTAAACTAGTTTCAATCTCATATTTATCAGGAATCTGATATGCAATACCATTGTGTTTGCGAGTAAATTTGGAAATAGGCGGATAGTGACCAAGTTTATTTACTTTGTAAGTACTCCAATAATCTTTATTACCCATTCTACGCATAGCTCTAATATATGAAAAATTATTATAAAATATACACCTATTCTCATAAGTTAATAACTCTTGTGACAAGATTCCTATAATACAAATATTTATTAAATTTATATATAAGCTTAAATATTTAACCTATATAAATATATCAGTAACTAACCTTGTCTCTCTATATTCATACTTTGTTCAACCATTTTACTCAAAGTTTCAACTGATAAAATGTTATTCCATAAACTTTGTTCATTTAGTTTATATACATTAAGATTCAAAAGAGTTGAAGTAGTGTTTTTGCAAAATGTTTTTGCTAATGTTTTTTTTTTTTTCTGGTCTAATATGATCAAATGGAAAATTCAAAGAAGCAGTGTTCTTGTAAAAGGTATTTGCTAATGCTTCTTGAGATCCAAGTCCATTCAACATCGCATTACTCGGGTTTGCATTTACAGTAAGTTGAGATTTTTGCTGAACTTTATGGTGCAGCACTTGAGAGTTTTTAATAGTCTTGCGCCGTTTTACTTTACTTTCATAACAAAATGTCTCAGGTGTAAGTGGAGTTGTAAAGATAATCTTGCGCATTGGAAGAATATACTACAGTAACGATAGTATAACACAAATGTGATATAAACAAATATAGTTAACCAATTAGATCTATCAAGTGATGTTTAGTTTGATCAGAGTATGATTAACTATTACTATAAAAGGGGATCGTCTAAAGCCAGGTAGTAATTTATACACGTCACATTGGGGTGGTCGATCATCCAATTAAATCAAACATATGTCTAGTCCCATATAAATTTGTAATAGTGCAGATTTTTTTTATGTATGTATATATTATTATACGTAAAAAATAAAAATAATGGTAATAATACGTTTTTTTATTTAACTAATTAATGAATTATTTAGTAAACTATATTCCGAGCGATACTGCAAATATATGAATTATTCAGCAAACAATATTCAGAGCGATACTTCAAATATAATAGATATATAAATTATTTAGTAAACTATATTCAGAGCGATACTGCAAATATAATAAATATGTAAACTAAATTCAAAGCGATATTGCAAATATAATAAATATATAAACTATATTCAAAGCAATATTGCAGATAAAATAAATATGTAAACTATATTCAAAGCGATACCACAAATATAACAAATGCAAACTAATTCAAAGCAAGACTGCAATACAATAATTATTAAAATTTAAATTTAATCCTATTTACTAAACATACGTTCGAAGAGCTGCTCAGCTTGAATATTATATGATGGATTTTGTACTTCTGAAAAAATGTTTTTTGACTTGTTTCTTTCAGAGCGATTTCTTCAAGCCCAGCTTTTAAATTTTCCTTATCTAGCTTTGTTGTAGTTAAGTGTAGCTTTGATTCTCGAAGGTCCATTGTCATATTAGGATGTGTTTTTAAATCTAATTTATTGAACAACCCTTCGAGCTGTTGTTGGTGAATTTTAATACTATAAACTTTGGTTTTGACGAATTCATAAATATGAGGATAGTGATGTAATAAAGAATTTGTTGACATGCAGAATTCCTCAAACTCATATCGAAAGTAATTATCTTCTAATAATAACCTAGACAGTCCAAAGTCATTTGTATTAGAATTAGCAATGTCATCTTCCAATTCTTTCACAAATTTGATTTCATTTTCATTTGGCACATTTATCCATGGTTGTTTTAAAACAACATGATGAAAACTTCGGGCAAATGACTGACCAGAATTACTTCCTAATCGACAAATAGATAGTGGTAAATGACACCAAGGTGTCATCCACTTTGTAAAATAGTCAAATGCTTTTTGAATTCCATTTTCAAGTTCATTAAAAATTTCTTCAAATTGTTCTGTGTTTAAAAGATCGACAGCCTCTAACAGTTTATCGGCAAAAAAAAGTTCAAAGTTTTTTTTAATGCCATTCAAATAACTAATCCATTTGGTTGCCTTATCAGGCATTTCATGTGCCTGAAAACCATTTAGAAGTTTCTTAAAATTGTTTTCATGTAATATTCTTGGTTTAGTATCTTGACCAACCATGAATTGTATCAATGGCTCATAAAAGCATGTTCCAAATCGTACTAAACACTTAGTTTGAATAGTTAATTTTGGATGTTGCATCCATTGTAAAAAAAGATGCCACTTTTGAAGATATATTTGAGGTGGCTTGTGAAGCTTTTCTAACTGCAGTATAAACCAATTAGCAAATTTCAAATGGGATGAACAACATTCTAAATATTGTTTAAGAGTTAATAGTTCATAACCCCAGCGTTTTGTGTAAGTTTTAAATTTTTGATGTAAGTTACATGTAAGTTATATCTAAAATCACTATGTGTATCTTAGTGTAAGTTTGCAAAATCATGTAAGTTACTGTAAGGTTAAAGTGTAACTTACAAAATTTGCCCAACCCTATCCTATCCAGGGTATACTGATAAAAGATAGAAACCCAATGTTACAACACTGCATTGTATAAAGCTTTGAAAACGTACCCTATTATATTAACCAACCTCTCATAGGAAAATGAATATCCTAAAGAATCAAGCAAATTGAATATTCCGGAATCAAGTAAATTGGTTAAAGGATATTCTTACATAAAAATTGTTCCATAGTTATTGGAAGAATTTTGGTGGTTTTAGCATCTGACAGTAAATCCCAGATTGATGTGTTCTTTGTCATTTTTGTTTCGAAATTGACATATATCAATAGTAAATCTAAAAATAACCTACGTTATTTTGCAATCGGTAAAAATTTATTAAACATAAATATTAAATTAAATATAAATTTTTGATTACAAAATTTTTGTCGTAATATATATATATATATAATCGTAAAAAAATTATCTATCACTGATCACGTACGTAAAATACGCCCATACGTTCTTGTACATAGTGAAATTGTTTTTTTGACAAGAACAAGCTTTAGTGTTGCAATTAGTTTTTTTGTACAATGACAGAAATTAAGAATTTCGCCAAAAAGTTGAGAATAAAACGAATCTGATTGGTCGATATTTGTGTTACTATGATTTTGATTCATACTTTAATTTCTTGGCATAATTTATGCTAAAGTAAATTATATGCATAACCACTAAGAGGTTTCAGATTTAAAAAAAATAGCGTATTTCAGAAATAAGTAAAAGTTTAAAAAAATCATATTTGTGTATCAAAATTTTGACGTAACACTACAGTGTAAATAATAAAACTTCGCTCAAGTTATTTACTGAACCTTTGCTCAAATTACTTATTAAACTTTCGCTCAAATTATTTTTTTATAAAATTTACTGAACCTTCACTCAAATTATTGAACTTTCGCTCAAATTACTTAACCTTCGTTCAAATTACTTACTGAACCTTTGTTCAAATTACTTATTAAACCTTCACTCGAATTATTTTTTTTATATGACTGGCTGAACCTTTCCTCAAATTACTTACTAAACCTTTGCTTAAATTATTTTTTATATAACTTATTAAATCTTCGCTTAAATTATTTTTTATATAACTTACTAAACCTTTACTTAAATTATTTTTTATATAACTATTTCTTATATAACTTATTGAACCTTTTCTTATAGTAAATTTCACCATCTTTTAGCTATTTGTATTCAAGTATAACATCTAGTGGTCTCCAATAAGCCGGCTCAAATGAGCTTACTCAATATTCCTATTGGTTCATTAAGGTTTATTTGGGTTTGTACACTATTTAATATATAAAAATATCACTTGTTTGTATAATTTATACAATATTCTTGAATATATTATATGTTATATAGCTTACAAGTCAAATAAGTCTTAAATAAGCCAATAGGGTGTAGGATAAGCCTATTTGAGCCAGCTTATTGGAGGACACTAATAACATCAATTACATCAAAAATCCAACACAACCTTTAAATCCAGATAATTGATCTATTATACTACTAATTTATTGTCGCTCAATAGAATCAGGCCACTGTACATAAATATCCCCCAATTAAATTAATAGCTGTTATTATATCTGATATGTTTTGTATACTTAACCACAGTGCCAATTCCTAAGCCCACTGTCTAGCAAATCATCCTACAGAAGCTTCATTTCTATTACAACCTAAGCGTTTTAAAGTTACTGCCAATTGTTGCCAATCTGGTCTTTGTAAATGTTTAGAATTATTTAAAAAAACTGGATTAGTAATTTGCTTAAAATTATAATCATTATAATTAAGAAAAAGAACTTGAAAAAAATCGTCAGATTTAATTGTTCTTTCACATATAGTAAGGTATCGATCTAGTTCTATGGCTTGTATTAACTCCGATAGTTCATCAATTTCTTTATCCAGAACTTTAGTAATAGCCTTATCCATGCTAGTTGAGTATTCATTCATAAGCGTCTTTAAAAGTTAATTTATTTTTACGTTGTCAATGTGAAATTTTAGGCTTGCTAAGTATAAAGAGATATTAGAAGCAGAATTGATTAATAATAAAATAAGTTATAATAGGAATAATCATATAAATAAGTGTATTTTAATTTTAATAAAAAACTAGCTATCTTATTAAGCTAATTTTTTATTGTTTCATAAACATTCCAAGCATGGGAATTCATGCATTTCTCGGCCAATTTAATATAGCATTTAGCAATTCCTTGGTCGTGATCCTTTGCAAATTTCCATTGCAAGTTTTAAATTAAATTCACGTTCGTCAAAAGGTCTTTGACCAGTTGACATTTCTGCCATAATTATACTATAGTTGGTGGTAGAATTAATTTTGAAAATTATCGAATTACAGCACGTGCTGTATTTTTTGCCGTAATTGCCGTAATTATAAACACGGAACCAAAATTAAACGTACCGACCAAAAGCCTGGGTCCAAATTCATCGGAAACAGGTCGTATGAAGTAATACCGAAACGTTCCGATATATACCGACCCAGAATTTTGGTCGATTTTCTGAATTTTGGCACCGCCACATAATTACGGCAATCAGATGCTATGCCGTAATTAATTCTACCATATGGTAGAATGCCATAATGCCGTAATTCAGTAATTCTACCACCAACTATAAATTATACCAAACCCATAAATATTTGCTACCTGTGTAAACAGCTTATCGCCTGATAAAACTTCAGGAGCAACATAGGGCATTACTCCATAAATTTCGCCAGTTAAAACTTTCTCATCTACTTTTCTAGACTAGGGATGGGTATGGTCACAGTCATAACTATTGTGACCGGTCATTGGTCATAACTGTTACTGACCAGTCAGAGCAGTTTAACTGACAGGTCAAATAATGACCGATACCAGATTCTTTAAAAAAACCATGATTTTGTTTTTATATTACAGCTGTTATCATAAAATCTGGGACACTTGATAAAAATTTGCCGAATGATTTCTCGGCCAATTCGATAAAATCTGAGATTTGAAATAAACCTGGTTAACACAAGATGTAAACTGGATCGGTGCAGTAGGCGCAGCACACATTGATTTATTAACCATAGCTGTCGCAACAAAATTGTCATGGCAGATCCTCGATTTTGATTGGCTAACGACCGAAGATCTTCAAATTTTGGCCCGCATTACATAATTGTTTACTAATTTCTGGCCGGA